AAATAGATGAAAAAATTAAGGAATTAAGAGAAGTTGAAAAATATAATGAGAATGAAGTAGAGGGTTTAATGAATATCCCAGCTTCAGAATCAGAAGTTCAGAAATCTCATGAAGAAAGATATAAAAATTACTTTTTGGAATCAACACAAAATTTATTAGATGGTGAAATAGACGAAACACTTTCAGAAGAAGGTACTAAATTTATTCGTAAACATAAGTTTCAATTTATTGATAATGAAGAATACCCCTGTATCCTACTTTCACCACCTTTAGATTCCGAAAAATTCAAAAAAGCTCTTAAAAACGTGACATATGCAACAAATACGATTAAGAAAGAAGACCATGATATTTACACAAATTATTATTTAAATAAATGTACAGGTGTTGATAAAGTTTTTGATTTGTTAGATAAAATATCAAAAGAAACCATTGGAACCTATAAAATTTTATGCGATTGTGGTTTCATTATTGAAGATACCAATAATGTTTCATATGAAAGAACAGCACTGAAGGAAGACGAAGTTGAAAGGTCTATACCATTCGTTATTAAGAACATAAAAGATATGAAAACTTATAAACATTATATTTATTCATTTATTTCAGAAAAAATGGAAGCAACCCATAAAACATCTTCTCATCATTTTATAGCTATTCATACATTCCTTTTCAAAGTTGTGAAATTAAATAAGACAGGAATTAGATTTAATGTATCAGGGTACACATTCTTGAGTAAATTAAAATGCATTCGTCACGTCGCAGATGATAAAAATTTATGTGTTCTTAATTCATTTTATGGACTTTAGCCCTGGACTCTCTGAGTCTCGGGCTTTAAAAAATAAACTTTATTTTTATTTTTTTTAATTTTTATTCTTACATAAATGAACAAAAATGGAACAGCTAAAATGAATGATAATCAAATAAGAGCCGAAGGTAGAAGGTTATTTAAACGCTTCTATAACATTCCTGATGGTGTTAATCCTAAAACTCGTAGAAGTTATTTAAACGAAGCCATAGATGTATATGAGGGGTTTGACATTTCATCAGAAAGTGAGAGATTAGCAAGAATGTTAAACGTTAATATTGATTTTTATTATTGTGACCCTCAACCAGAAGACGTAGACATTAACAAGGTAGACTTTCCATTAGTGGAATCAATAATGATAGATCCAGAATTTGAAACAGTAAATATTTTATTAACACAGAGTCCATGTGGAAAACTTCATGCTGACAGAATAACAGACGTTGAAGCACTCACAGGATATAAAGTTTGCCCCTTTTGCAAAGAAGAAGTTTATTCTATCCGTGATGATCCAGAAAGGAAAAACCAAAGAAGATTTTTAAAACATTGTGAGAAATGTAAAGAAAATAATGGAAGATTAATTCAAGACGTTCAATTGCAAAACACACAACAACCATATACACCACATATCACGAAACAGAAGATATATCAGTGGCTATTAGCACATAATTTGCAGGAATATTATCAACCGACAAGATATTATATTACTTTTGACTTCGAAACATTAGAGACTAAAGAAGAATTCAACTTTCTGAATGTGCAACTTTGAACGCTTACTTAAAACCATTTATGGTATCATCAACTGTCAAAATAAAGCCGCAAAGCGGCGAGGTCGTAGACCGTGATAAAACATTTACGAGGAATTTTTGCTTAACTTCGAGTGATTCTTTTATTTCTGATTGGATTGAGTTTTTATTTTCAACCTGTTCATTAGTTGCTAAATCAAATATTGAACAATATGAAGAATTAATGAAGCCGCAAACGGTGGGGACTTTGTCTCATACATTAAATGAGAAACAGAAGGAAGCATTTAAAGAGCTTTAGATGAAGAATTTAATAAAGTGAATATCATAGGTTTTAATTCGGGAAAGTTTGATTTAAATTTAATTCTTCGTGATTTAAACACTGCAAAATGGAAGATAAAATCAATGTGGGTTCATCTTCACAATTTAAGCAAATCATTGTAAAGAAAACAAACGTTCCATATGAATTGAGATTTATTGACATCAGAAATTATATAGCGGGTGGACATTAGACCAATTCACTCAAGATTTCGGAAACAATAAATCACGTGTTAAATCCTTTTTCCCTTATCAATTCATCACATGGGAAATTACGAAGAAGAATTATATAAAGAGGAACCATTCACGAAAGATTCATTTTATTCAGCATTAACCAAGAAACTATATCAGATAGTGATTATCAAATATATCTCAATGATGCTAAAAATTTTAAGAATAGATTAGAATATTTTATTCATTATTGCAATAAAGATGTTGAAATTATGATTGACCCAATCGATAAAATTATTGAAGAAACATTTGTTTATAAAATTGACATGCTTCATAATCTTTCTTTATCATCGAATGCTTCAATGATTCGTTACGCGTTAGCATATAAAACTTCAATCCTAACGAAAATATCCAGAAGAGATGAATCAAGTTTTGAATTAACGAAAAAGTATTGGAAATATAAAATTGAATCATATAAGAAACAAGATGAAAAAGCAGAAAGGGATACTAAAAATAATGTTTCAATGGATGATTTTCAATACTATCACGATTTAATCCTTTCATCTAAATGCAAAATGTGTGGTAAAGCGTTTACATATGCAAATAAACCAACATTGGATAGAATCGATAATGAAAAACCACATACCAAAGAAAATTGTCAGTTAATGTGTTGTTATTGCAATGTCGTAAAATCAAATAAAGATGAAGATGTTCAACGTTTAAGAATCAATTTAAGAATTATGCATTAAAAAATAATTTACCAATGACTTTAGATTCAGTTGAAGCTTATCACATTCTCCGTAATGGAATTACTGGTGGTTTATCAAATGTTCAACATAGAGTAAATCTTAAAGGAATCACGCACATTAATAAACTTGCATATAATCCAGAAACTAAAACTGTATCAAATGAGGACACCACCAACATTATGACTCATTTCGTTGGTGTTGATTTTAATTCATTATATCCTTCATCATTTTCATCTAATCCTCATGATTTCATTCAATATACTGACCATAAAATGTATATGCCGGGAAGATTGAATGGTGTTATCATTTGTGATACAGCAACAAAGAAAGCAAAAGCACTGGGAATAATTAAGAAGAAAAATACTTTATTCGTGGCTGAAGTAAAGGGTCACATTGATGAAAAATACATTAATGATTACATAAACTTTTTACCGATAATAAGAAACTTAGATATTATCACAGATGAAAAAACAATTGGCAGTTTTATGTATAATTACATGAAATCAAACAATCTACCGGTTGACCAGAAACAGAGGAAATTAACTCAGTTAGCATCAACACACAACCAATATCAACCATTTTCTTCTTATTATCTTTGGTATCTAATAGACAGATTTCATTTTATCATTGATGACATTCAATCAATTTTAACATTTACTAAAAACACTTGCTTTAATGAATTTGCGAACGAATTTATGAACGAAAGACAAAAGGCTGAATTAGAAGGAAATAAAGGAAAAAGTTTATTTTGCAAGATTTCACTTAATGGATCATATGGTTACGATGCAATGAATACACAAAATTACACAAAGACTAAAATAATGAATGCACAGAAGGCACGCGTTGCATGTATGTCAAATAAGTTTAAAAACATAAGAGAAATAGGAGAGGATACATATCAAGTGATGCTCAAAGATAGATTTTATAGATGTGATACATGTTTACAAGAGGCATTCTTCACTTTAGATAATGCTAAATACTGGTATTTGGTTTTCATTTATAATTTTATGTATAAATGCATGGATGTTAATCGTTTTCATTTCATTGAAGGTGATACTGATTCATCTTATTGGGCAATCGCTGGCGATCCAAATCTTCCTAACACTCAAGCATTTCAAGCAATTGTTACCGATAAACAATTTTATGATAAAAACATTTTCAAATTCGCACCTTTTAATTTCTTCTGTTTTGATGAGAAATTTAAACCTAAATTAAAGAATAAAGCTGAAGAAAAAGCACATGAGAAGAAGTTATTGGGTTTAGCAATTGAGAAACAAGGTGATAACATGGTGGCGTTATGTCCTAAGTGTTATACATCATTCAACGGTTCAATTGATGGGGGTGATTTTAAAAAGATTGCACAAAAAATGAAAGGTGTTAGTTTACGACAAAATAAACAATTAACACCTAAAAATTATTTGGATATAATAAATGATAAAGTGATATTTGATGGTCAGAATATTAATTTACAACTTAAAAACGGGTCAATGACTCGCTTAACAATTGGTAAGACTGCATTAACAGGAGCACACACTAAGGCTGTATGTTGTGAAAATGGATGTTGTATGCCATTTATTTAATGAAATGCCACAGAAGAGACAAAAGGAACCGTTAATGATGGTTTTGATTCTTGATCAAAGAGGTGGGCACCCTTAAAACATTTATTTTATTTTTATATAAATGGATAATGTAGATTTAAAAAATTTAATTGATGATTTAGTATTTAATCAAAATTTTCTTAATTATTATGATTTAAAAGCATATCTCCAAAAATATGATAACAATATAACGGGTGATGATATGGAATATTATTATCCATATTATAAAAATGAATTTTTGAAATATCATGATAAAATAATTTCTAAAATTAAAGACAAAATTAAAAATAATGAATATTCAAAGGGAAAAACTAAATCACAACTTAAACAGTTGAAAGATTTCAAAAATAAAGTATTAACAGAAGAAGATATTGATGAATTATATAAATTATATAATCCTGAGCCGCAAAAAACAAAGGAACAAAACGCCCAGGTCCTTCAGATCATAAATGATGCACAAGCTTTAATTTATGATTCATTAGTTAAACCATATTCAGCCCGACTTTTAAATGAAGATCAACTTTTGGAATTCATCCTTCAACATAAACTCGAAGCGGGAAAGTATATCAAACCTTTATATACAGCATATTTAAAACAAATGAATAGAATACATCCAGAATTAATGAAAGGAGGAATGAAATCCAAAATCAAAGCAGATAAAATTAAACCTCCAACGACAGTACCGCCTCCTCCTTCAGTTAATCCTTCATCATTCACTTTATTATATCCATTTCAAACATTAAAGAAGCAAAAAGATTTTAAAAAGGATTTCAAGATATTAAATAAACCAATTGACCCGAAAATTCAACCATTAAAGGAAAAATTTAGTCGACCTTCATTTGCTCCATATCCATATTCATACGAAATCGATCATCTGGAATATTCAAAAGGAAACGTTACTTATTTATTTGCCATTAACATTAACACTAGATATTTATATTGCATTCCAGTGAAAGGGAAAACAGAACAGGAAACAAGAAGAGCTATTCAATACTTACTAGATCATGAAAGAGTAGATAATATCAGGGGTGATGGTGATAAAGGATTTCAGGCAGCTATGGCTCATTATTTCCCACAAATTAATTTTTACTTTTCATCCTCTCCATATACGTTTCATAATAAAATAGTTGATGCGGTAATGAGAACTCTTAGAGATGCGTTAGGGGTTAACGGTCAGATATACTGGGATGGAAATCATGACTCCATCATACAACAGTTAGTATATTATTACAATAATACATGGCATAGAACAATAAACATGAAACCAGTGGAAATGAAAAATGATATTTCAAAAGAATGGGAATATATTAGAAAGCAAATGGAAAGGTTGAATGATGTTAAACGTGAACAAATTAATTCGGGGCTCATGAATTTTAAACAAGGGGATAAAGTTTTGATTCATCTCGATTATGGAAAAACTGATAAATCAATGACAAAAAGAAGACGAAGATTTGACACAATAGCTGAATTTGTTAGATATATTAACGGTAATGTATTAGTTGAAGTTGACAATAAATTAATAGAAATTCCGATTTATTTTATTACTCCATTATATTTAAATGATATTTAATTTTTTTATTTCGTAAGAAATGAGTGACAACAAAGCAGTCAAGAGTCCAGACAATGAATATAAAAAGAAACTAAACAGAATTAAATCAAAAATATGCTATTACAAAAAGAAGTCGCAATGCGGTGGGGTTGAAAACGATAAAGAAATAATCGAAAAATTAGAAACTTACCGTTCAATCATTAAACTGAGTGAAGCAAAAATAAAAGAATTTAATAGAATAAATAAATTGATTGGAAGAGATGAATTTAATAAAGATGAATTTTTAAACTCTATCCAAATTTAATTTTTATTCCTCTTCGACAACATCTCTCTTTCCATCATTACTGCATAACCACATTTTCTCAGTTTTAGTGGTTTGTTATTTTTAACATGTTCTTGCATCATTTTTATCATTTCCTCCCTTGTTATGATTCGTGGTAAATTTTGAGCTTGTGGGGTATTCATTTATGATAAAAATAAAAATTTAAATTATGCCGTTCTAAAGTTTGAGACAACATGACATTTAGACAACATAGTGGGTTATTCAATAATTAATTATTTTTGAATAACTGAAGGGGTCACCAGGTCACCAGGTGGTCACCAGGTCATTTAACTTCTATGAAAAAATGAGACAACATGACATTTAGACAACATAGTGGGTTATTCAATAATTAATTATTTTTGAATAACTGAAGGGGTCACCAGGTCACCAGGTGGTCACCAGGTCATTTAACTTCTATGAAAAAATGAGACAACATGACATTTAGACAACATAGTGGGTTATTCAATAATTAATTATTTTTGAATAACTGAAGGGGTCACCAGGTCACCAGGTGGTCACCAGGTCATTTAACTTCTATGAAAAAATGAGACAACATGACATTTAGACAACATAGTGGGTTATTCAATAATTAATTATTTTTGAATAACTGAAGGGGTCACCAGGTCACCAGGTGGTCACCAGGTCATTTAACTTCTATGAAAAAATGAGACAACATGACATTTAGACAACATAGTGGGTTATTCAATAATTAATTATTTTTGAATAACTGAAGGGGTCACCAGGTCACCAGGTGGTCACCAGGTCATTTAACTTCTATGAAAAAATGAGACAACATGACATTTAGACAACATAGTGGGTTATTCAATAATTAATTATTTTTGAATAACTGAAGGGGTCACCAGGTCACCAGGTGGTCACCAGGTCATTTAACTTCTATGAAAAAATGAGACAACATGACATTTAGACAACATAGTGGGTTATTCAATAATTAATTATTTTTGAATAACTGAAGGGGTCACCAGGTCACCAGGTGGTCACCAGGTCATTTAACTTCTATGAAAAAATGAGACAACATGACATTTTGACAACATCACAGGAGGAAGGCAAAAATAAATTCCAATCATACTTTATACTGCCTCATTTACAGGTATTTCATCGTCAGTAAATGATTCCTCATTATCGTTTGGTTCAATTTGTTTATATAATCCTTTCATTTCTTCTTTCAAAACATAATACCATGTTTGTTTACCATCTATTTTTCTTTGTTTCCTTTCACATTTATCCTTAATGCTCATTTGAAAGTTTTTGTCTTTCATGTCTGATGGTTTGCAGAATAGAGCATTTTTACACGTCATACCTGCACATAATTCATCATAATGTGTATTTATCCATTCATCTAAAGGATTTGTTGATAACTCGATTAAATCTTGTTTGGCTTCAGTCATCGGTATGATTCGTACATTAAATGATGAAAGGTCATATTGCATAAAATATGTTAGTAAATTATCATAAAATTCCTTTGTGCATGAATCCATTAAATTCTTGAAGTAATCAAATTGACCCTTAAATTTACCATTAACCCTTAAAACTACGTATCTTCTGTCTCCAACTTCAATTTTGACAGGGTAGACGTTATTAGTTACGAAAATAAAGTTTGCAACGTTCTGAGCAGTTCTTCTGGGTTGATTCTTTTCATTAATTCTAATCTCATTATCCGTAATAATTGATTTCAAAGCGTTGAAGTTTGCGAGTCTATCTTCACCTACATTCTTGAGTTCATTAAGTACAAGAAACATTTTATTCTCAACTACTGAGTTGAAATTACCCGTTAGCTCACTTATTTCAGTAATGTTTTTACATGAATAACCGGCGAGGAGTTCAGAAATAATGTCTGTGAATCTGTTTTTACCTGTTCCCTGAAGTCCTTTCAAAATAATTGCTGTTTCATTCTTGATTCCAGGATGTTGAATCATTGATGCAATCCAGCCGAGAAGGTATTTATACACTTCATCGTTATTATCACAAATGACTTCTTTAATGAAATCCATAAACATCTCAATTTTTGAGTAATCAGGCTTTTCAAGAATGTTGTATTTATAACCCTGAAACGTTGAGAAAACATCTGGAGAATCAGATTTAAAGCAAACACCCTTAACGGTTAATGAAGACAATTGATTTAGTAGTACATCCCATGCTGTTATTGTTTTACCTTCTTCTTTAAATAATTTAATCATTTTGAGTGACTCTTTCATGTTTGACTGAAGAACGAATGATATTTGATTCATTTTGTCGTGTATGTTGTAATCTTTCTGAATGAAATATTTGTTTCCACAATCTACAAAACGGATTACACGTGATAAATCCTCAATTACTTCAGAACTGTTTTTATACTGATGATTTTCAGCCTTGCGTCTAATATCTGTTATCAAAAACGAGTCATCAAGTTTGATATCAAATGTTATTTTTGGCTTACGTAATAAAGGTAAAACATATTCATCATAATATTCCTTTTGATAAAGTTTTAGAATCTTCACCAAAACAAATGGCGAAGTCATTAAATGTGCATATCTACTACGTGCTTTTTCAAAATTACTTTTAGCATTTTCAGTTAAGCTGCAGAAGTTATAAACGTTATCGTAGGCTTCATTAATTAAATGATTAGGTAACGAATTAATAGCTTGAAACAGTGTGAATAATGTTATTTCTTTTTCTAAATTCATGTTTCCACCATCATTATGTACTTCAAAATCACAGATGCCATCAACTATGCTCTGGGCAAGTTTATCGTCAATGTTTACATCTTTGTTTTCATTCATAATAGTCTTTATTTCTTCATTCTTTTGTTCAACTCTTACCTTAATATTCAAATCATTTAATATATCATTCACTGTTCTAGTTAATGTTGAATCATAACTTCCACGAATGAATGAGTATGTATTGATTGGTTCTGTTGCATTCTTGCGAACTCTTGAATCAGCCATAACCACTAATGAACGTTTTGAATCATCAATAGAAGTCATGATATCAATATCATAATCATTGCAGGAATAACATTTAATCATTCTGTTCGAGGTTGAATAGAAGAAATTAGTGTTGCAATAAATGTGAAGACCTCCTGATGCGGTTTTAACGATAACATCTTTATCCGAAAGTTTTGATAGAATGTCTTTTCTAACCGTTTCTTTAAGTTCATCATTGTATGATTTATTGATATCAACATCTATAATCGTTAAATTTGATATTTTATTTACTAATAAAGCTGTACCAGTTTTCCTTCCTCTTCCTCCATCATGTTTGAGGTAGTTATGTAAATCAATCTTGTTTTCACCAATTCTTTCGTTGAGGGTTTTAGTTTCTATCATAACTAATTCCTCAACTAATGAATCAATAACTTTTTCATCAGAAACGATATAGTTGCTGTTGTTGTTGTTGTTGCTGTTGTTGTTGCTGTTGTTTGTTGCCGTCATTTATATATAAGTAAAAAAAATAAAAACAATTTTAAAACTAACTTTATTTTTGGACTGCATCAAATTTTCGTAAATGTTGTCAAAATGTCATGTTGTCACATTTTTTCATAGAAGTTAAATGACCTGGTGACCACCTGGTGACCTGGTGACCCCTTCAGTTATTCAAAAATAAGTCATAACTGCCTTCCTCCTGTGTTGTTGTCAAAATGTCATGTTGTCACATTTTTTCATAGAAGTTAAATGACCTGGGTGACCACCTGGTGACCTGGTGACCCCTTCAGTTATTCAAAAAATAAGTCATAACTGCCTTCCTCCTGTGTTGTTGTCAAAATGTCATGTTGTCACATTTTTTCATAGAAGTTAAATGACCTGGTGACCACCTGGTGACCTGGTGACCCCTTCAGTTCTTCAAAATAAGTCATAACTGCCTTCCTCCTGTGTTGTTGTCAAAATGTCATGTTGTCACATTTTTTCATAGAAGTTAAATGACCTGGTGACCACCTGGTGACCTGGTGACCCCTTCAGTTCTTCAAAAAATAAGTCATAACTGCCTTCCTCCTGTGTTTTGTCAAAATGTCATGTTGTCACATTTTTTCATAGAAGTTAAAATGACCTGGTGACCACCTGGTGACCTGGTGACCCCTTCAGTTCTTCAAAAATAAGTCATAACTGCCTTCCTCCTGTGTTGTTGTCAAAATGTCATGTTGTCACATTTTTTCATAGAAGTTAAATGACCTGGTGACCACCTGGTGACCTGGTGACCCTTCAGTTATTCAAAAATAAGTCATAACTGCCTTCCTCCTGTGTTGTTGTCAAAATGTCATGTTGTCACATTTTTTCATAGAAGTTAAATGACCTGGTGACCAACCTGGTGACCTGGTGACCCCTTCAGTTCTTCAAAAATAAGTCATAACTGCCTTCCTCCTGTGTTGTTGTCAAAATGTCATGTTGTCACATTTTTTCAATAGAAGTTAAATGACCTGGTGACCACCTGGTGACCTGGTGACCCCTTCAGTTCTTCAAAAATAAGTCATAACTGCCTTCCTCCTGTGTTGTTGTCAAAATGTCATGTTGTCACATTTTTTCATAGAAGTTAAATGACCTGGTGACCAACCTGGTGACCTGGTGACCCCTTCAGTTATTCAAAAATAAGTCATAACTGCCTTCCTCCTGTGTTGTTGTCAAAATGTCATGTTGTCACATTTTTTTCATAGAAGTTAAATGACCTGGTGACCACCTGGTGACCTGGTGACCCCTTCAGTTATTCAAAAATAAGTCATAACTGCCTTCCTCCTGTGTTGTTGTCAAAATGTCATGTTGTCACATTTTTTCATAGAAGTTAAATGACCTGGTGACCACCTGGTGACCTGGTGACCCCTTCAGTTATTCAAAAATAAGTCATAACTGCCTTCCTCCTGTGTTGTTCAAAATGTCATGTTGTCACATTTTTTCATAGAAGTTAAATGACCTGGTGACCACCTGGTGACCTGGTGACCCCTTCAGTTATTCAAAAATAAGTCATAACTGCCTTCCTCCTGTGTTGTTGTCAAAAATGTCATGTTGTCACATTTTTTCATAGAAGTTAAATGACCTGGTGACCACCTGGTGACCTGACCCCCTTCAGTTATTCAAAAAATAAGTCATAACTGCCTTCCTCCTGTGTTGTTGTCAAAATGTCATGTTGTACATTTTTTCATAGAAGTTAAATGACCTGGTGACCACCTGGTGACCTGGTGACCCCTTCAGTTTCAAAAATAAGTCATAACTGCCTTCCTCCTGTGTTGTTGTCAAAATGTCATGTTGTCACATTTTTTCATAGAAGTTAAATGACCTGGTGACCACCTGGTGACCTGGTGACCCCTTCAGTTCTTTCAAAAATAAGTCATAACTGCCTTCCTCCTGTGTTGTTGTCAAAATGTCATGTTGTCACATTTTTTCATAGAAGTTAAATGACCTGGTGACCACCTGGTGACCTGGTGACCCCTTCAGTTCTTCAAAAATAAGTCATAACTGCCTTCCTCCTGTGTTGTTGTCAAAATGTCATGTTGTCACATTTTTTCATAGAAGTTAAATGACCTGGTGACCACCTGGTGACCTGGTGACCCCTTCAGTTCTTCAAAAATAAGTCATAACTGCCTTCCTCCTGTGTTGTTGTGTCAAAATGTCATGTTGTCACATTTTTTCATAGAAGTTAAATGACCTGGTGACCACCTGGTGACCTGGTGACCCCTTCAGTTCTTCAAAAATAAGTCATAACTGCCTTCCTCCTGTGTTGTTGTCAAAATGTCATGTTGTCACATTTTTTCATAGAAGTTAAATGACCTGGTGACCACCTGGTGACCTGGTGACCCCTTCAGTTCTTCAAAAATAAGTCATAACTGCCTTCCTCCTGTGTTGTTGTCAAAATGTCATGTTGTCACATTTTTTCATAGAAGTTAAATGACCTGGTGACCCCTTCAGTTCTTCAAAAATAAGTCATAACTGCCTTCCTCCTGTGTTGTTGTCAAAATGTCATGTTGTCACATTTTTTCATAGAAGTTAAATGACCTGGTGACCACCTGGTGACCTGGTGACCCCTTCAGTTCTTCAAAAATAAGTCATAATGTTGTAAACAGAAATTCATCAAAAGTGACACCTCAGAAAAGCTAAAATATTGAATTTTTGGAACTTTTGATAGAGCACGTTTTTAAATATTAATTAAAGTAAATGTATATTTTGTAAAGATTCTTTTTAATAAAAAAATAAAATTTTGAAGAAGAACACAAAATCTTCTGAAAAATAATATCGCATAAACTCATATTATTTTCTAATATATAACTATTTTATATAAAAATCAAATTCAATGATCTTAAAAGCGAAGGATAGACCTCAAAATTTACGAATATAATGAGTGGGAATATAATGCTTATCTATCATAAAACCATATGAAATATCAATTTTTGCTTTACGCCTAATTTTTGACGACAATTAGCAAAAAATGTTAAATGTTAACACTCAGTCCATTTGAATATGAAAAATAAAATTGACTTTGATTAAATGTTTTTATTTATCATGCAATTCTTCTTGCGACCAAAGATTTGAATAAAATTTCAAAAAATAAGATAGCTTAAAAAATAATATACGGTAGTGTTTACTAATAGATGAATAGTATATAAATTCTATTAGAATGGATTTGAACCAAAAAATATAAAACCAAAAATAATTGTTATAATTTAAATGAAGAAGTAATTTAAAACGATTTTATTTATGATCAAATTTTATATATTTTTTTGGATCAAATCCATTTTAATAGAATTTATATACTATTCATCTATTAGTAAACACTACCGTATATTATTTTTTAAGCTATCTTATTTTTTGAAATTTTATTCAAATCTTTGGTCGCAAGAAGAATTGCATGATAAATAAAAACATTTAATCAAAGTCAATTTTATTTTTCATATTCAAATGGACTGAGTGTTAACATTTAACATTTTTTGCTAATTGTCGTCAAAAATTAGGCGTAAAGCAAAAATTAATATTTCATATGGTTTTATGATAGATAAGCATTATATTCCCACTCATTATATTCGTAAATTTTGAGGTTTATCCTTCGCTTTTAAGATCATTGAATTTGATTTTTATATAAAATAGTTATATATTAGAAAATAATATGAGTTTATGTGATATTATTTTTCAGAAGATTTCATTCTATATGCCTATGAAAAGTACTCTCAAAACTAACTTTTTCCTAATTATAATTAAATCTAGAATATTGTATTATGCTTAGTATTATTTCATTTTTCTCATTCAATTTAGAATTTACAAATGTCAAAAAATTGAGAGCTGTCACTTTTGATGAATTTCTGTTTATTACAATAACTGCCTTCCTCCTGTGTTGTTGTCAAAATGTCATGTTGTCACATTTTTTCATAGAAGTTAAATGACCTGGTGACCACCTGGTGACCTGGTGACCCCTTCAGTTATTCAAAAATAAGTCATAACTGCCTTCCTCCTGTGTTGTTGTCAAAATGTCATGTTGTCACATTTTTTCATAGAAGTTAAATGACCTGGTGACCACCTGGTGACCTGGTGACCCCTTCAGTTCTTCAAAAATAAGTCATAACTGCCTTCCTCCTGTGTTGTTGTCAAAATGTCATGTTGTCACATTTTTTCATAGAAGTTAAATGACCTGGTGACCTGGTGACCCCTTCAGTTATTCAAAAATAAGTCATAACTGCCTTCCTCCTGTGTTGTTGTCAAAATGTCATGTTGTCACATTTTTTCATAGAAGTTAAATGACCTGGTGACCACCTGGTGACCTGGTGACCCCTTCAGTTATTCAAAAATAAGTCATAACTGCCTTCCTCCTGTGTTGTTGTCAAAATGTCATGTTGTCACATTTTTTCATAGAAGTTAAATGACCTGGTGACCACCTGGTGACCTGGTGACCCCTTCAGTTCTTCAAAAATAAGTCATAACTGCCTTCCTCCTGTGTTGTTGTCAAAATGTCATGTTGTCACATTTTTTCATAGAAGTTAAATGACCTGGTGACCACCTGGTGACCTGGTGACCCCTTCAGTTATTCAAAAATAAGTCATAACTGCCTTCCTCCTGTGTTGTTGTCAAAATGTCATGTTGTCACATTTTTTCATAGAAGTTAAATGACCTGGTGACCACCTGGTGACCTGGTGACCCCTTCAGTTATTCAAAAATAAGTCATAACTGCCTTCCTCCTGTGTTGTTGTCAAAATGTCATGTTGTCACATTTTTTCATAGAAGTTAAATGACCTGGTGACCACCTGGTGACCTGGTGACCCCTTCAGTTCTTCAAAAATAAGTCATAACTGCCTTCCTCCTGTGTTGTTGTCAAAATGTCATGTTGTCACATTTTTTCATAGAAGTTAAATGACCTGGTGACCACCTGGTGACCTGGTGACCCCTTCAGTTATTCAAAAATAAGTCATAACTGCCTTCCTCCTGTGTTGTTGTCAAAATGTCATGTTGTCACATTTTTTCAT